CACTTGTTATTGATGGGCTTGGGTTCTGAGATTGCATTTTGCTCCTTCTTGTTGTCATTTTGTATAATACTGTCTTCTGACCTTTGTTGTAGATCTTTGTTGCAGTTATAACCTTAGCACCTACTGAAGTTTGGCTGCAGACCTACAAAATTTGGATTTATCCAGCCTTGCATGGCTTGGGTCTGGCTGCTGTGCTCAGCTCCTTCCTGCTGCTGCACAGGTGAACCTGTGTGCCCCTCTGGCAAGATGCTCTGCTCCTGGACTTGCTAGTTGGTTCTGTCCCCTACACTCTCTGCAGGGATTGCAGCTGCAGGCCTTCACCCCAGGCCTTTATGCCAGGCCTGAGATGAGTCTTCAGAGGACAAGGTGAAGTAGGGGGGAAAGGCAGCTCTCCCACACACTCACTGGGCCTAGACTAGGACTGGATTTGGTGGTTCCTGGAATGTGACAGAAATTCCTACTCTGTGAGTGGGTTGTGGGGCTTACTACAGAGTGATGGGGCTGCATCCCAAGAAGATGAAAGAGGGTGTCACCCATGCTGCGCCTGGGTTAGGACCAGTAGGTCATGCAGGCACAGGGTAGCCAGATGCTCTCCCACACACTCACCTGGCCTGGGCTTGGACTGGCTCTGGGGATTCCCAGAACGTGGCAGAAATTCCTACTTGGCAGGTGGGGTAGGGGAGTTGCTGCAGAGTGGTGGGGTCTTCCCAAGGGCATGGAAGAGGGTCTCACCCATGCTGCGCCTGGGCTGGGACCAGTAGGTCCCGCTGGCACAGGGTAGCTGGAAGCTCTCCCACACACTCACCAGGCCTGGGGTAGAACTCTTAAATGTCTTAATAGCATTTCATTGTTTCTATGTACATTTTCTTGTTTTTTCATTTTTTTAATTTCAAAGAAATTAAATAAAAGTGTAATAGATAAGATGCTAGAAATGTTCTCTATCCAGGCCTGAATCACGCGTTCAAGAACACTCATGAAACGCCTGCTACGGGCCTGGATCTGTGGTGGTGGTGGTGAATCTCCTAAAGTACGTTTGGAGATTTTTGGTGTAAGTGAGTGAAATATTTAATTTATTTCTCTTAAAATTATTTTTGCATGGTCAATATTTCTGTGTGTCAATCAAGGAACAATGAGGGAAGCAGAACCAAGTATAGAAGGATAGGTGTAATAGATAGATGACAGACAGATACATAGATACAAAGCTAAAGAAAGAACTAGGCATGTATGGGCCAAATAATAAGATCAACAAGATAGTTATCAATATAGTCATCAAGGATTTCCACCAAAGGGAACCCGTTATAGATTCCCATAAAGAGGCTAATGATAAGATCCAGAGAATTTCAGAGTCTGACATGCCATTTATTTTTATTTATTTATTTATTTTTGCGGTACTGGGGATTGAACTCAGAACCCTGCTCTTGCCAGGCAAGCGCTTATTCTACTGAGCTATCTCCCCAGCCCACCATTTATTTTTTATCTAATATCTTGAATAGCTAGTGAGATATTAGCAAAAGGGCCAACAATGATAGATAGATAGAAAGATAGATAGATAGATGATAGACAGACAGATAGATAGATAGATAGATAGATAGATAGATAGATAGATAGATAGATAATAGAGTGTTCAGTCATATATACATTTGGGATTTGACCTTGTTGAAGATAAATAGGCTCTACAAAATGGTCTTTGTAGGGCTGGTGGGATAACTCAGTTGTCTAAAGTACCTGCTTGGGCCAACTCTATCAGATGTAGAGGACTGCGGTTCTATCCTCCACACCAGAACAGCCCTCAAGGCAGACCTAGCAAGCCAAAAAAAAATTATTGTCTTTGTATATAATGACGAAGCTTGAAGTTCTTGGGCACACACTTGAAAAGAAAGGATAGATGCAAAGTAGAGAAAAGTAAGGTGCTGGGACCCACAGTACGACATGGGTGCATAAGGATGTACTGAAACCTGGGCAAATTGTTACCACCTCTGCCCTCACCTAGAGTACCTACAGAAGCCAGGCCTCCTCATGTATCTGGCCCAGGCTAAAGGTGTGGAGGTGTGGAGCAGCTGAGGTGTGCAGCAGCTGAAGTGTGCAGCAGCTGTAGGCCAAGCTGCTACCTTACATCAGTGTGTCTGCTCTGCATAGGAATGACAGTTTGTGAGCTGCAGAACCCTGCTTCTGGCCTGCTAGTTCTTATTACAAGCTGTGCTCTTACACTGACTGTGTAGAAAGAGCAAGCAGAGCAAACCTACTCCTTTTCCATCTCAGCCTAGGTCCAGTGCTTGTGTGTGTTATGAATGGAGAAGCATGAGGGAAAATCCTACTGTTTCCCTTCTGTGTCCCAAATCTTCATGGGAAACTCTCTATGATACACTCTAATAGGAAACAACCAGGCAGATGAACTCTGGACAATATAGTTGAGTCTAGCCAAGCTGACATTTCACTTAGTGTATGAGTCATCTTCCCACTCTTGGGACAAGCACACAACTTTAAGGAGGAAATGTTATTTTGGCTCACCATTTGCTAAGTTTTAGTGCATGGCTGACCACTTCAAGGCAAAACACCATGACAGAAGGACATGGTATAGCAAGGTTGATCAGCTCATTGCAGCCAAGAAGTTTAGTGGGAAAAAGAGCTTTATAAAAGGAGACCAGGAACGTCCTGTCCCACGTCACACTTTCATGCTCATGCTGATCACATTGACAAGTGTGCTTTATTAATAGCCTAGGCATCTCTCAAGCCAATAAAGTTGACAATTGAGATTAACCATCACATTAAGCTCCTACACTTAGTGCTTACAGAGAACAATTGAATCTGATTTTCTCAAATATAGAATGGCCTAAATATACCATTATCATAACTAGCTAACTGTATTTTCCTTAAAGAGAAGTGCTATATATCAGCAGTTGTTATGTTCCAGGAATTGTACTAAGTACCTTATAGGTGATAACTTCCTTCTATGTCTCCCTGCTTCCATTCTTGCCTCTTCTACAATTCATCCTTCAAATAGCGATTAAAACACCCATCACATCATGCTGCTAAATTCTCCTAGTGCTTAAATACTCTAGTAGCCCACCTTTATGCATAGATGATAATACCCAGTCCCCAAGCCTGACACCACAAGGAGCCTGCCTCTTCCTCTGAATGCCCATCCTTCCATTGTTGCCTTCACACCCAGTATTCAAATCACACTATTCTCCTGGATAGTTCTTAAAATACAAAACTCATTGTTGACATTCTCTTTGATTAAATTCCTCTTCCCCCACACTGTTTCTTCCGTCTTTGAAATTTCTCTTAAAATAGGACTTTTACAGAATGGAATTCCTGGATTAATGCATTTTTCTCTATAATTGACACCTAAAAATTGTACATATTTATTGGATACAGAGCAGTGTTTTGATACATATGTATAACATCTAATGATAAACCTCATTAACTGCCCCAACACTTGAAATGTTTATTATTTCTTTGTGTTGTGAACCTTCAAAACCTTCTTTTAGCTGTTTTAAAATACATAAAATACACAGTGTGGCTATATTCATAACTGTAGTCATCCTAGTGGGCATAGGGAACCAGAATTTACTCCTCCTTGTATCTGAAACTTTGCATTGTTTGTCTCACCTTTCTCTAGCTCCTCCTTCCTGAATTTCCCACCTTCTGGTGGTCACTATTCTCCTTTCAGTGTCTATGAAGTCAACCATGTTTAAGAGTCCACACTCATTGCTATATGTTTATCAATAAAACTTTGAAAAGAAAAAAAAAAAGAGTCCACAAATGAATGAGCTCACCCAGTATTCATCTTTGTGTTTCTGGTTTATTTCACTTGAACATGTATCTTTATGTTTTTATTCATTTTAATG